ACTCAGTCCAGCAGTCGAAATGAGCAAAATGAATCTAAAAGAAGCAGGGATACGAAACGAGAAGCAGCTTCAAGATAAATAAACACTTGAAGGAGAAGAGTTTGGCCGATGCCTTGGAGGCAGTGAAACTATTGTGAAGGCGAGAACATAAGTCGGGGAGAAGTTGAAAGCATGAGAGGAAATATTTTTTAAAAATACGGGACAAGATCAAATGGGACAAGATCAAATGGGATAAGATCAAATGGGGCAAGATCAAATAGGGCCAGATCAAATGGGACAAGATCAAAGGGACAAAATCAAATGGGGCAAGATCAAATGGGACAAGATCAAACGGGGCAAGATCAAATGGGGCAAGATCAAAGGGACAAAATCAAATGGGGCAAGATCAAATGGGACAAGATCAAATAGGGCAAGATCAAATGGGACAAGATCAAACGGGACAAGATCAAATGAGACAATCCGCTCGAGATAGAAGAGAAACTGAAATAGTGAACGAAAAAAAAAAATAACAATCACATTTAACTGCATTAAATTATTTTAATTTTTTGTTAACTAATCGCGGGTGTCTGTGGTGCCTTGTATGTGATGCCTTGTATGTGGTGCCTTGTATGTGGTGCCTTGTATGTGGTGCCTTGTATGTGGCGCCTTGTATGTGGTGCCTTGTATGTGGTGCCTTGTATGAGGCGCCTTGTATGTGGCGCCTTGTATGTGGTGCCTTGTATGTGGTGCCTTGTATGTGGTGCCTTGTATGTGGTGCCTTGTATTGGCTTGTCTTTCTTTCTGAAATAATTGGTGAAATTAATCTGCGGTGTAAAAGCTGGCGTGTCATTAGAAGAGTAATTAAATTACGGGCCTTGGGATGGGGGGGGGGGTGGTCTACTAATTGGGATTGTCATAAAGTGCGTTACTTGATTACCAATTTTGTCAAATTTTTCAGCCCCAGCCCCCCCCCCCCCCCATTGTTGGTTATTACATTTTATATAGGATTTATATTACAAACCATATTTTTAGTTGTTTTTTTACATTTTGAACTTATCTCAACTTATTTTAAGATAAGAAATACAAGTGCCTATTATATTTTCTTAATTAAGTGCTATTTGATTTTAATTATGCGCCACTGTCCCCTAACCTCCAAACAACATTTCCACGAGGCAAATATGTTGATGAAAGCTAACAGCTGCTAAATTAATGATCATGTCTGTCTCATGTGTTTCTTATGTAAACATCAATTAACTGATTTTAACATTTAGATACCATCCATAGTAACTCCGGCATACGATTTCGTGATAACGTATTTAGCCATGTTCAGTAGACGTATTGCTAATCTGTGAAGATTTTTCTTAAAGGAAACTTAGTTTCCTTGATTACAGGATGTAAAATTTGGTCAAAAATTAGCATTTTAAACAGTGGTTCTCAAATTTTTTTCCCGCCACCACCACCTTGGTTTCATAGCGCCCTCTACCCTATCTGATTATAAGATTTCTTAAGACAACTCTTTACACGACCCTTCATAGAAAATAATTAAATAGCTAAAAAAAAAAAATTAAATGTGACATTTTAATCAAAATAGAAATGAAACTTAGGAAAATTGTAATAATTGATGCGATGAATTAGTTGATCGGATTGAAAATGGGTTACATCAGTGGTTGTTGTTCTTTTAAACTAGAGTATTTCTTTAACAAGTGTTTTAGATATCTAATTTCGTATGTGATCAAATATTTTGAAGACGCTGTGTTGGCTTGGTGAAGAATTTAGCAGCTTGTCTTTTTCTTCTTCCTCTATATTTATTTAGGGCTCACGATTAAGCTTTGATCTTTCTGGCTCCCAGGTGTGTAAAGGGGATTCGCAATGTTTCTGTGCCTTGAATTTAAGAGGATAGTTCACTGGTTGCAAGGGCTACACAGCGATGGTATCAGGTACTGGGTGTTGGAAGGCCAGGGGCAATAGACGCAAATGTTTCAAGTGTTGTCATTTCAACTGTAACTTTGGGGAGCGTCCATTAATTATGTCAACAAAATAGGAGGGCGGGGGGGGGGCTATGGAAATTTTTGACATTTGTTGTTAAGGCTGAGTGTGGGGGGGGGGTGTTCGACGATTAACTGACGTCAATAATCAAATTTTCTCCATTAAAAATTTAATCTTAAACATTGACTGGTTGTTACATTATTTTAATATCCGTATTTAAATTTAAAAATAGATATCCTCTGTCTCCAAATTTCACAAAATGTGAACTCTCTTAGCTCGGAGTAGTGTGAATCTTCTCTACAGCGCGATTCAACTATTCACGCAGTTGATACTCAAATAGTCATATTATGTTTTTAGGCTTTTAACACTGTACGATTTATGTATTGTGTCTATCGGTGCACTGCAGATGGCTGGTCAGAATTTTAGCTCACATTGTTAGTGCAAGAGAAGTTGAAAAATAGTTGGCCTCTCTTGGCCTGTAGATTCTGTTTGTCGCCAATGACTAGGGCGGTATGTTTGCGATCGTGTTGCGGGTATGGAACAAGGTCACGGTTCAGCTGTCATGTGCAGTCAAGATAAATGGTATTGATAAGAGTAGGTATATGATTTTTTTTAGAATAAGGGGAAAGTAAAGTGAGTAACGATAATAGCATCGCTGCTTGAACGGATTTGCAAAATCTGCAGCATCTATTTTGCATCACAAGTCATGTTGAAATAGCATGTTTAGCAGCACCGACAATGCGAGTAGCAAGCTACCAGGAGACAGAGAGAGATTATAGCAATGATTACTCACCGACAATGCGAGTAGCTAGCTACCAGGAGACAGAGAGAGATCATGGCAATGATTGCTCACACTAACAATGCTTCGATTTTAATTGCTGAATAGTTAGATGAGGATGATGTTGACTTGTCTGATATATCAGTTCAAATGAAAATTATAATCAGCTACTACTGACTATGCCCATCAGGGCGTCATTTCAGGTTTTTTTCAGGGGGGGGGGAGGGCCAAAACATTGTCGGCATGTTAAGTTGTGTATTACTAGAGGCGCCACAGTACATAGCAATTTAAATAAAATCTGAAAATTCAGTAGGGGGGCTAATGCCCCCTGCCCTACCCAAATGATGTCCCTGATGCCCATTGTTACGATAGAGCAATACCTGGCAACTCCATGGCAAGATGATAGCTGCTAGAAACTCTACTTTAATTGTCAGCTATACTGATAATAGTCGTATTTATACTTCCACAAGCAATGATATATTTAGTCTTCTACAACCTTTTATTTGCTTCTGCATTATTAAATTTAAGTGTAAATACTTTTTAACTTATTGATAAACTAGCTAAAGATGCAATAAAATGTTTTTCGTATAATTTGTTTCATTAAAATACATTAGCACAAAGTAAAATGTATTAATAATTTATTTTTATTATAATTCATAGGGGGTATAAAATGTTGACATAATTAAATAGGAGATGGGGGGTCTTTGAAAGCTTGACAGTTGTTGACAAGGGGTGGGGGGGGCAAAAACTGCGTAAAAATTGTTGACATAATTAATGGACGACCCCTGGAATTTGGGTTTCATTCCCTGATTGTCTTTGGCAGGAATGAACAGTTCCTGTACTATGTTCTTGGTGGTATGTGCCGGAACTGCCTGCCATGGCCTCGTCGCTGTCTGTTGATGAGAGGGACCAGTTTCTGTTTAATGCTGGAGCAGTGGACCAGCCCATTTTTTATCTTGTACCTCATGGAGAGCCTGGATAGTCGTCGTCGTTCCTCCAGTGGTGACCAGCCTAGTGTTTCCAGCATGCTGCCAACGCTTGAGGTGTTCCTGTAGCGGTTCAGAACAACGCGTGCTGCCCTCCAAACTGTCTATGCTCCTCGATATCATTATATTGAGATCATTACTATGCAAATTGATGCAACATTGTCAGACATCCTGCAAAGTTGAATCTTGATTTTTTAATTTTTTTTTACTATAATGAACTTCAGCACTAAGCAAGAGTGGTGCTAGATCTATTTGGTTCTCAACACATAGCGTAAGGAATGGTCAAAACTTTGAGAGCGTCAGCTTAAATGAAAATCAATGCAGTAATTCGGTATTGAATAAATCGCTCGCTTGTTGCTGTTTTGTTTTAGCGGCCCGATGTTTACAATGAACGACCGAAGTCTGGAGAAGTCTGTGAGACTGAGCTATAGCAGCAGTTCTCAACATGTGGGTCGCGACAACTTTGGGGTCAAAAGACAAGTGGCGCTACTTAGGTTACATTTTAATCAGTAACCCAAGTTGATGTTGTATCGCGCTTGATACCTTACTGGGCTGATAAACTAGTTTTCTGGGTGAGTTTTGTGCAACTAACTAATGCATATATTAAAGAATGAAGAGTATATATAGTAAAACACGAAAGTCAATAAAATATCAATGCGATTATGGTTCATCATTCGGTGTAAGCATTTCAGATATTGAATTGTGCATAAAATGTATTCCCATAAATTACAATGTGGACTAATTTTCTCCAGTTCTCTGCTAACTATGTAACTGGGTCCGTTCATTAAAAATGGGATAAGTGCACCAAAAATTATTCATTGACCTATCTTTTATATATACATATATATATTGCTTATTGTCTGTCCGGCATCCTTTTTTTAAACCGACCTGCCTCTAACTCTACATGTATTATTTTAATAGTAATAAGTAAAAATAAAAAAAAAAGGGGGGGGGGGGATAAGTAATGCCTTTACACAGGTTTTAAAAAATTCTTCAAGGGGAGGTGACTGTTATTCAGTGTTGTTATTGTTCGTGTTGTTCCGGCACACAGCAAGCTCCTTGGTAACGTCTGAACGCTTTAAAAAACATTATAGTGTTTGCCGGGATAAATAGAGCATCTGTTATCTTGATTTTGAACTATGGAATATTAAAATTTAAAATAAAAAAATTTAAGATTATTTATTGTTAACCGAACCCTTCTAAGATATTGTTTAGTCTAAAAGAAACCTTCTGAGATGGTGCTACAGCTAAATAAACTATCTGAGATAGTGTTTAGGCTAAAAGAAACTATCTGAAATAGTGCTTAGGCTAAAACAAACAATCTTAGATAGTGCTTCAGCTCAAAGAAACTAACTGAGATTGTGTTTAGGCTAAAAGAAACTATCTGAGATTATGTTAAGCCTAAAATGAACTATCTTAGGTAGTATAGGTAAAGAAAAAAACTTGATTTGGTGTTACACAATTTTGATGAAACAATCTGAGATTATATCGCTGACAAAGGGAAGCATCCTACAAAAGTCTTTCGGCCAAAAAATTAAGAGAACGAAATTTCTTGAGACTTCAAATATGGCCTTTTGGGTAAGACTAAATGATCCAGTTATCTCATCGTTTGGCTAAACGTTAGAGACAAACTTTGTTGTGCACACCTAATGTCAACTGCTCGTTGAAAGATCGAATAATGATGTAAAAATATGTATTGTGAAATTATAAAAATAAATTATTATTTATTCTTTAATCATGGCAGATAACATCACAGGCCAATGGATCTCCTTCTCCTTGGTAAAACTGGCATCGGGAAAAGTGCGACTGGCGACTCAATTTTAGGTCGGCAATGTTTTGTTTCGAAGTCCAGTATATCACCGGTTACCAAGGGAGTGAGTTATGAATCTTTTGAGTACAACGGTCGAGTTATTAAAGTGGTGGACGGCCCAGGTGTAAGGGATACCAGTGGCATTGAAGACCTTCCGAAAGTCATAAAACTCGTCATGGACTCAATGCAAGATGCAATACTCCTGAACCCAAAAGGCTAACACGCATTCCTGCTAGTGGCCCCTATGGGGTAAGATTTACTGCAGAGGATAAAGAGGTGATTGTGATATTAAAAGCTGTTTTTGGACATGATTTTGTAAAAAAAACTTTTGTATATGGATTGTAACGGGCGGGGAAAATTTCGATACAGAAGAAAGACAACAGAAATTAAAAGAACGAAAGGAAATGATTGAAAAATTGGGACAAATGCAAGTGTCTGCAAATCAAAGTATTCGGCGAGGAGAAACAGAAATAGTGAGAGTGATGGAGAGGAAAAAAAACAAAAGAGGCCCTGTTTTTACAGTCTCTAGAGAAGGAACAAACAGAGAAAGAAAGAGAACAGTTGAGAATAAAAAAGGAGAGAGAAAGAGAAATTCAGGAGGCATCTTTGGCGGCTCTGACTTGCGGTGAAGATGACGTACGCAATGCCTCGTTAATTGATTTGAATAAGAAATTACAAAACACATACGGAGTCACGCTATCAGACTCCACGGAGGAAAGCGTCTCAGATGAAGCTCGAATACAAACGCCTGGAAGGCATATGGGGAAATGAAACAGAAATATGATAATCTGATGAGAGAGCAACTTCCAGCAAAAGTGCGTAAGGACAAAAATTGTCCCATTTTATAGAAAAGCGATAGATTTTATGGGGTCATTTATAAATGATGATACAATATTTAGCCGACTGTTTGTCCCCCTCCCCTCCACCCAACTAAATCTTCATAATTATTAACACAAAAGTTATACACCCCCTCCCCTCCCCCCATTAAATATTAAGTGACATAAAATCAGGGAATTGACCGTGGGCATGATGGAAAGGGGTAAGGGTGGAGAGAGCAAAAATAGATTAAATCGTTCGTATAATGCAACTGTCTCTGACGAACAACGGACGGAAGCTTCTGGCTGAGTCACAGATATCACAGAAACTGGTCATTTGAGAGCAACGAAATAAGGATAATTTTGCACCAAGTCCAAGAGTCGAAATGTGCAAAGTGAATCCAAAAGAAGCAGGGAATGGAATAAAGGAAACAACTGCATGATAATCAAACAATGGAAGGAGAAGAGTTTTGCCACTGCATTGAAAGGAGTAAAACTAGTGTGTTAAGTCAATAAAATGAGTCAGTGATACGTTGAAAGCACGAAAGGAAGTATTTGACAAATGGGACAAATTCAAATGGAACAATCCGCTCAAGATCGAAAAGAAGCAGAAATATTGAAAGCCATAGAGATGGGAATAACATTAACAGAGCAGGCACAATTTTTAAAGTAACTAAAGAAAAACAAAACTGAGAAGGAAAGAGAAAAATTAAGAATAAAACATTGAAGACAAAAAGAAATTCTCTAGAAAGCATTTTCTAATTTGATATTCGGTGAAGATGACGTAGCCCTGCGGAATAGTTTACATATTGATATCCATGAGGAAATTCAAAATAAATACGGAGTCACGACATCTTACTAAATGGAGGAAAACATTTCTGTTGAAGTTCAAATACTAAATGCCCGGAAAGCGTACCAAGAAATGAAACTAAATAAAATATTGTAATCTGATTATAGAACAATTTCCTTTAAAAGTTTAAGAGGGGTGGGGGCAAAATTCTTCCATTTTATAGAACATATAAAGTTTAAAGATTATAGGCTTCTTATCAGTTATTAACTCAAATCTAGTCTAACTAAGGCTTAATTAAACTCGACTAAACTCTGTTAAAAGTATTTAAAATCTTTACTGAACATGAAGGTTATTTTAATTTTTATCTTTAGGGCAAGCTTTATAATTATTATTATTATTATTATTTCTGCTAAGAAAATATTTAGAAAGCTGCAGCCGGGAACAAATTGATTTAACGACATTACAGATTTGTAACAAGGATAGCCAAAGTTTCTGTTCCGTAAGAAGTCGAATGTCGCTCTGTAGCCGACCACTGACCTCTCCCAAATCTATATGATTTTTTTTTTTTTTTTCAATTTTGTTCAACCGAATGCCAGATATTAACGGATGCCCCCAATGAAGACTTTGTCACATTTAGTGACTAAAAGTTAAACATAGTAGTATATTACACTTTATAAACATAAGTTCAATTGAGTTAAATTTTTTACCGATATAATTAATTAAATACCTACTGTTTTAAGTAAAAGAAATACTGTCTAGTTTAAATTAATGTTTGTGTAACTTTGCCCCGCTCCAAAAACTCTTCCGTAAAAACTAGTATGCCACTAACTGCTGATGCATTGCATGTTTGATAAATTTGATGTTGTTATTTTATTTTATTTTTTAACTTTGTCATCAATTGATAATTTATTTAATTTAGTCTTGAAATAAATTGTTGTAACATGTTTAATGAATATATCTTCGTAATACCATTGGATTGACTGAGTTTGATTAATTTTCTATAAATATTAATATTTAGAGACTATTAATTTGGATAATGGATTGTAAAAGCTGTTTGATTCGTGCAATTAATTTTTTTAAAACAGAATTTATACTACTTCATAATTTTATTGTATATTTTACCCTTGATGTGCACATCAGTATTAAATAATTTTTTAGTAAACTTATTTATTAATTAAGTTATTGTTTCTTTGTAATAAAACAAATATTTACATATTACCGGTACATCAACTCGTCTGTTTACTTGATAACTTCATGTACAAGTATTTCATACGGGTCAAAACATAATGGTGAAAGATATTTTCATATATATATATATTATATATATATATATATATATATATAT